CTGCACAATGGTGATTCCGATACCCCCATTGCGTTAAGATGCTTAAGCAGGTGACCATGTCCTGTCAGTAGACCAGTCAGGGTGCTTATTTGATGTCTAGTCATGCTATTAAGATCACCCAGCAATAAACCAAGGGTCTTGATAAACATTTTAGATTGTCTAGGTACTACCAAGTACTTCCAGATTTTCCTGTGTTGTTCTCTGCACCAATTCTTGGGTAACGCTTTGAGCGATTGCTCAGTGAGCCCTACCACTGGTTCTGGTCCAACATAGGTGTTCTCTGCTCCTTTCCTGGCTAGAAAGTCAGCATTCTCATTTCCAGTGACACCGTTGTGTCCCGGTACCCACGCCAGTGTAACTTTGTTGAACCTCGATAGTGATTCTAAAGTTTCCCTGCATTCGAGGACCAGCTTTGAATTCACCTGATCGTTACAGAGTGCTTTCAAAGCCGCTTGACTATTACTTAAGATAGTTATATTCCAAACCTTATGAATCTTTTAGTTCTTATGTCCTTTAACCATATGTTTAAAATTAAATATTAACTTCTTTTTTATTATAGCGAAGGCAAAAAATTGAGAATGAGAAAATACGAAAAAAATTTTTAGAGGCAGAAGAGAATACAAACATGACACCAGAAGAAAAGAAATTACTTCAACAAAAATTACAAGAAGAAGCTGATTTAGAGGTAGCTAAAGAAATGTTAGGTGTTGGTGAGGGAGATGAGGACTCAATAGATAGGATGCATCCTAAAACAAAAGAAGACTTTGTATTATTTGAACAAGCCCTTCAAAAGAAATTACAAAGTGTTTCAAAGTCTGAGTATTATTCAGAATTTATTGAAGAACTAATTAGGAATTTATCAGTTAATTGTAAGTATATATAATTTAAGAAAAATAAAAGTTATACTACATTATTTTTATTTTCCTTTTTTTAAACTATACATTCTATACAGTATTAAATTCTGATTATTATTATTTTTTGCATAGTATCTATGAATGATTTGAGAAAATTAAAAGCTACTGTAGATAATATGAATATAGAAAAAATGAAAGCAGAAAAAGGAGATAAAAATAAAAAAAGCAAGGGAAAAGCAAAAGCAAAACTTCGTTTAGATAATAGTAATGTAAGTATTTAGCATATTTTATTTTGGTCATTAACAATTATAAATTTAATCAATTATCCTCTGAAATATTTATTTATTGGTTATTTAACACTCAGTTTTTAGTACTGTTAGCAAGTAGTTGGCTAGTTGTAAAATTATCTAAGAAATATTTTAATTATTCAAATACCTTAGAATAATAACAAATTTTAAAAAACAAAATTATACAAGGTGAACTTTTTTTATGAGCATCCTACATAATCTTTATTCTATACAGGATAACCTGTATTAAACTCTATTACATACAGAATAAAAGCCATTTTGAAATTTTTTTTTTGTTATTTATAGTTGCATATTGTTTTCAAATTATCAGCTGTGTAGTATTTTTTAATTCATACCTTATGCTTTAAAATTCTCCCTTGATAGATAAGAATAGTTCCATGGTACCTCTACCATTCGTAAGAAGTGACTAATAGGGTTGCATCAGGTTGATAGTACATGGAGGTTATAACTTTAATGTGGAGATCAATGGCAGTAGGCAAGGACATGATAGGAGTGGTGGTATTGACAAGAATGTAAGACACGGGATTAAATGTGGGTGTTTGATGAAGTGTAGAGAAGTGTCTGGTGTGTTATGTGATGAAAGAATTCCAATAAGGCTAAAAGGTAAGTTTTATAAGACTAGTGAGCCCAACTATTATGCATGGTTCAGAGTGTTGAGTGGTTAACAAGAAAGTAGATCAGAGAATGAATGTATCAAAGATGAGAATGCTAGATTGATGAGTGGAGTGACTAGAACAGATGGGTTAAGGAACGAACATATAAGAGGGAGTATATGTATAGCGGCTTCATTCTTATATAAGATGAGAGAAAATAGACTTAGATAGATTGGTCATGTTATGAGGAATGATGAATTAAAAGATGTAAGAACAACTATAGAAATTAATGTTGAAGGATGAAGAGGTAGAGGAAAACCAAAAAAGAGATAGACGAATATTATTGAATGTAATATGATACAAATTTTTCTTTAATAGTTAATGGTGTTTTGAATTTTTCACATAATTTTATAGTTATATATGATATGAGGGGTTATACTAACTAATAGCCAATGCATTCAATTAATTATTCATAGTTATGTAGTGTCAGTGTTTATCGTCAGAAAATAAAAATGCTTCATTTGACAAAAAAATTGTATGTTTATCTTTAAGTTTTTAGGTGTAACAATATATTTTAAAACTATCTTGATATTATTCCTCAATAGTGTTATAATTGTTAATGACCTCTGTGTATCTGTAAATAGTGTCATTGTTAAGAAGCAATTAGCTGACCTGTATTTGTAATCCCTCATATGTTATACATGTATTTTAACTACAAAAATCAAAACAGTTACAACTGATCAACAAATTAAGCTAAATAAAAAACTCTAATGCTTTATTATAAAAATAAAAACTCTATGATTCCATTTGAAAAACCCAAGTTGACAGTCTTACAAGACATAAGGCATGAATTTAAAAAGTATTACATAGCTGATAATTTAAGAACAATATGTAACTAAAGTAACCAAAAAAAAAAAATTTCAAAATTGTTTTTATCCAGTGTGTATAAGTAGGTGGGTTATAATCAATGGATCAGTGTATAAAATAATTTTGCTGGATGCTCACATAAAACTAATTTTCATGCCCATTCTGATTGATCATTTAAATATATCTAACATTCTTTAAAACATACTTGAATTATCATCACCCTGTCTTAAAGGTTTATGAATAATAATAGTTTTTATGTTATATTATAAATCTTTACGTCTTAATTTTCATTCTTAATTTGTTATTTTTACATATATTGCAATTTTATTTTTATGTATGTTTGTGTATATATATATAATTATTAAGGAATGAAAAATAAAAATGTTTTATATGTTACAGATTCAAGATTACAATGAATTTTCAGCTTATACTGTGGATGATTATGATGAGTTTATGTAGACTGAAAGGAATGTCCAACCAGAAACTATTCAAATTATATAAATACATTATATATATATATATTAATATAATTATGTAATTCAGTGTTAATAGATAAATGATAAATTTTTTTAAATAATTTATGTTTATCTTTATCACCTAAAAATATACAATTATATTATAAGAAAGTTAAAGTATTTTATTTTGAACCTGATAACTATTTATGATATAAAAAATAATATTGATAAAAAATTCACTACCAAATTTTATCTGCATGAGATAATGATTTTTTAAGTATTACATAATCTATTACTTTATGTACTTGATTACCTATTAAGTGGTTATAACTTATTAACTTAAATTATTGAAAATAATATTGTACGCCAACTTAATTTAGTAGTAATTAATTAATTAAATGAAAATGTATGAATTATATGTTAAGTTAATATCTCTTTCAGCAGGATGTGCATCATCTATGTTAATGTTAACACCTTTGTAAGTATTCTGGTTATGCATTTTTTGGTAATATTGATAAATTAAATTCAATGACCGAAAATTAAAAAAAAAATTCCTTTAAAATTAATTTTTTTAGCCCAATTAGAAATTATTTTTTGACAATTCATACAAAGCCTTTATTTTATTAGATTAGTATGTAGAGATATAATTCAAAAGAAATCATCTGACCATGTAAAAGTTGGTACATTTACAGGAGCCTTTTTTAGGTAAGATGATGTAAACTAGTTATATATATAAAAATCAATAAAGTATTCTATTTAATTATAAGAAGTTTTAAAATTTAGGAGTTCCTTATTTTTTCGGCAAGGTCAACTTCTTAATTTACAAACAGTAATGTATGTTCATGGAATGGGTCTAATACTCAATTTTTTATACATATCGCTCTACTATTTTTACTCGAGTAAAAAGGTTATCACATTTTGAAACTAAGATTACTATATTTATTTGATCCAATTCATTCATTTTGTTTATTTTGGATTTCAGAATGAAGTTATTAAAAATGTTTTTAATATCATAAGCATAAGTTTTATTTTAATATTATACTCTGTATTTGAATCAAAAGAAGTAGTTTCAATTCGTTATCCATCTATAGTATCAGTTATTCACATATTGATTATTGCTTGGCCTTTATTATCATTGGTAAGTTTGACTTTTGTATTTATTTCTCACAATTAAGTCTGGTAAATTATACACTGCTATGCTTGAATAATAAATAATATAGTATAAACCTTAATAATATCGGCATTAAAATTTCCTTGTATATATAAAAAAATTTATTAGAAATTCATCAATGATTGCTTTGTTAAGTCTAACTAATATTGCATACTATATACTAATTAAAAATGTGATTCAATACTATCTACAGATTATAATTGAAAATTTAAAAATCTACTTTATCTTATCACTATTATGTAAGCTATATGATTATTTACATATTTTTTTGAGAAGGGGTTGGCCTGGCTTATTGGGTAGTAAAAAATGCTTCGTCGCACGGGGTCCCGGATTCGATCTCCAAGGTGCTAATTTCTTGTCATTTTTTCTTTGGTGCAAGCCGGTCTTAAAATGATGGCTCGACCATCATTAGTGGGGCTGGCTTAGCTAAGAATTATCTTTGACACTTTAACATGTGGAAACTCTCTGTAGCATTTTAAGTGATAACGTAAGTGGGTGTATTTGCTCCACGGAGTACTGTAACCAAATTTTAACCTTTATTTCCGTCTTCTAGTAGGCGTACTGCGGTGGCCGATACATGTCTAGGGCACTCGTGCCAGGCGAGTAACATACTGTAAAGTGCCATCAGTACTCTGCGAATACCACATGTTGAGGTTATTAGCGTAATACTCACAGATTAAGTTACATGATGGTGTAACGCATATAGTATTACTTGTTTAAACAGCATAGGCTACTCATGCAAATAGGTTATAACGACATCTGATATATTTTATACAAGAGGTAGAGCATCACTGTTTATGATTACGTAAATTTATGAATTTAACAGAATTGTTTCTTTTAGATAAAATAATCACATTAGATTAATTTCTCAATTATTTATGATTCGAACTCTATTATCCAAATATTCTCCTTAAGTAACCATATAAATTGTAATGTTGACAATTAAATATTTAATTAAATTAAATTAAATTTAATTTAATTCAATTTAATTAAATTAAATGTTGACAATTTCAGAGAGAGACATTTAGAACTAAGTGTTGGTTGGGACATCCAAAGCCCATTATAATAAACGGTACAATAGTGAGTGTTTTGTGGTTTTTATACAGCATCAATGTTAAAAACAAAATTATGTTTGTAAGTATTGCAAATATAGAGTACATTATGTATAAAAGAAAATAACAATTTCGTCTAATCTTTTTAGATTCAATGTTTCATATCAACAATTCTCTGCTCAGCTCAGTTGGTTTTATTGTCAATTTATCCAACTGATGTTCCCAAAAAGAGTGAAAAAGAAGAATAACAATCAATATATAATTTGTACAATTTTTTGTGATCATTTTATTGTTTTTTTTTTTTTGTGTAGTAAAACAAATGTTTGAACAATTATAAAGTGTTTTTTTTTCAACAAGTATAATTTTATTGATCAAAATAATTTATTGTTAAAAAAAAAAAAAAAAAAA